AATTTGTAGTTATTAGACTTGATCTCTAGGTGGAGCTATTGTTTATTTTTGACTATATTTCTCCATTTATCTTCACAGCGGCAAAGATGCCAGACGACAACTGCACTAATGATGTGCAGGACATCATCTTAGGGACTCTGCCACCCTGTCCAAACTTATACGCCAACTGGCTGGTCATTCTGCTGCTCGTCATCTATTTGCTGGTCACAAATGTGTTGCTGCTCAACCTTCTTATTGCCATGTTCAGGTCAGAGTTCAGCTAAAACTGGGAGATTCTATTTGGAGATTTTGTACTGTGAAAAAGTTAAATACAATTTAAAAAATATGTTTGCATTTTGATGTTCCACTTTACACATTTGATAACTAAAAATAGCTTTGCACCAACATGTCAGCTAACTCTCATTAGAGTATAAGTAGAATGTCTGCATAATATCGTAACACTTTACACTTTTATAAGTAACTTATAAGTAACCCTAACAACTAACCCTAACCTAACAGTCTACTAATACTCTAATGAGAGTTAGTTGACATGTAGGAAAATTACTTATAATTAATAGAATTTGTAAAGGAGACCACCAAAATAAAGTGTAACCCACTGTGTGTGTGTGTGTGTGTGTGTGTGTGTGTGTGTGTGTGTGTGTGTGTGTGTGTGTGTGTGTGTGTGTGTGTGTGTAAAAATACAATTCTTCTTATAAACAATGTCACAAAATGCTATTTGAAATTCAACCCAAACATGTCACCTCTCCGCAGCTACACCTTCCAGGTGGTGCAGGAGAATGCAGACATCTTCTGGAAGTTTCAGCGCTACAACCTGATTGTTGAATACCACAGCCGCCCGGCTCTAGCCCCACCCTTCATCATCATCAGCCACATCTCTCAAGTTCTCCTCAGCCTCGTCAAAACGACAGAAAACAAGCAGGATCTGCTGGGTAAGAAGTTGTCACACTGACTGTGTACTTCCTGTACAGATTATTTAGATAATTCATTATACTTTTAATGTAGTCAGCCAAACTCCAGTCTAAAATAAGAGCACATAACAAAATTGAACAGTTAAAGCAGTGGAGCAGGAAAAGCAAAGACAATTTAAAGAATCTGTGGTCGAACGTTTGTTCCTCTATTCTTGTTGTGGTCAGAGAGGGAACTACCAGCTGGCCTGGACCAGAAGCTGATGACATGGGAGACGGTGCAGAAGGAGAACTACCTGGCTAAACTGGAACGAGAGCACAGGGAGAGCAGTGGAGAGAGACTCAGATACACTTCCTCTAAGTGAGCCACATTTAAACGCTACACACATATAGAGCTATGATTTAGTACATTATGTTGTTGGTTAACGTCATACGTTTAGTTAAGCTAACAAAATGAACATGTTAGGCAGTGATTACTACTTGCGCTCGTAATGATTGTGATTCAAGGATAGTGTCCTTAATGTGTCCTTAAAGAGATACTCCACTTTTTTTGGAAATAGGCTCATTTTACAACTCCCAGTTAAACAGTTGAGTTTCACCATTTTCAAATCCATTCGGCCGATTTTCTGATATTTAGAAGGATATCAGTAACCAGACAATTTCTGGTCTTATTGACTTCCGTAGTAGAAAAAAATATACTATGGAAGTCAATGAGACTAGAAACTGTGGAGTATCCCTTTAAAGATTGTGATGGACTGTATTTATAATCATAAAATGTATCATTAACCCATTATCTTATATTGAGATTTCTGCAACAGGTAAGTCTATGCTGAATGAGGGTATGAATAACTATTATCCTCTATGGTTACGCTTTATTTCATTTTTTTTAAAATTATTTTTTATTACAATGTCATTTTACATTTAAGTACTGAGTAATAATAATTAACAACATGTAAGTACTATAGGATTAGGATTTGGTTAAGGGGTAAGTTGCATGTAATTATGCATATTTTACTGTTAGTACTACGGTAAGTACAAGGACACTGTAAAATAAAGTGTTACCTAATCTACTTTTTGTATGTATCATTTTATAGGGTACAGAGTTTGCTGAGGTTGGTTGGGGGATTCAAGGATCAAGAAAAGCGAATGGCAACAGTGGAGACTGAGGTGAAGTGAAGGAGTAGCTGCTGATTTAGAGTCACCATGAAAGACAAATCTTTTTTTAATGGAATACTGCAGTATTTATTATAAAATGATTTATCTGTGTACATTTAAAAAAATCATGTGCCCTCATAATCTTTATCACAAAGATCCAGTGATTCAATGGATCATTTCTTTTTCGAGAAGCTGTTTCACTCGTGTATACTGTACATCCCAATAGAGGGAATGCGCGTGACGTCACCGTCGGCCGGAGTGACTGCAGTTCCTCACATTGAGTGGCAAAAAGACTGAGCGGCTGTATATGTGTTCAGCGTGAATGCCGCGAAAAACAAACACACCACACACAAATAAAGTGGGAAAGAGCTTTGCGATTGACTGTAGTCCTACAACTAGATTTTACAAAACATCGGAGGTATGTTTTTACAGACTGGTATAGAAAGAGGAGCAAATGGATCGCAGCAATTCACAGAAACAACTGAACTCCAGTCAGCGAAAGGTGGATTTGCAGTTATCATTTTGTGTCAATATGCTGAATTTAGCTATAAAACCATACCCATATATTTTGTATTGTTATATACATTAACAACTCATCAATTAAATATTTATCATTGCATATTCTGCATTATTGGATGTTTTTTAATAAACACTGACCAAAAAAACTTATAAAGTTTTAGGGCTGGACGATATGATAATAGACCATTTCACAAGATGTAAACAACACTGGTCCAGAAGCACTTCCTGTTTCAGTTTTTTAACACTACATAAAAGCTGGGATAAAATACAATCAACAGAACATTTAAAACTGAATCAAAAGTTAAACAAACATCTTTAAGATGTTGTTTTTTTTTACATGTGAAATAAAGAAAACAGTTACAAACTGAAACAGGAAGTGTTTCTGGACCAGTGTTGTTTACATCTTGTGAAATGGTCTATATGGGCCATATATAACACTGATATAAGTGATCACCCGGATTTAGACCTACCTATATTATATTTATATAACAGGCAAATTTGCTTTATGTTTTGGTGCTTTTATTTCCCCGGTGTCGAAATCAGGCAAACATAAATGTCAGGCAACACGATTCCTGGCTGCATGTCAATATCCATGGATCACTGGATCTTTAGTAAGTTGTAAGGAACACTATATTGAGTCCAACATTTAGTTTAAATTGATACAATTGTTCAATTTAGTCGCATTTCCGCAGTTTGCCCTATTAAATCCAGTTACGCAGCAGATCTTTTGCCACTCGGTCAGGCTGAGGGGGGTTGTTCCGGCGGGAAAGTCACGTGTCAAAGCATTCCCTCTATAGGGAAGAAAAGACTATTGCAAGTTCCGTTTCATGTCAACTTTAATATCTGTTGAGATTCCTCATTTAAGTTCAAGTTGCCAAATGACTGAACATGTAAATGTATCTGTAGGTGAGGTATTGTGGAGAGGTGTTGTCTTGGATTGCGGAGTGTTTCCACAAAAGTACTCTGAAGTGTGACAGAGACGTGCCTGTAGCCCCACGTGAGGCTTCCTTTGTTTTCTCTCTTACTCTGTATGAGTGTCTTTCTTTTCATTGTCTCACAGTCTTTGTCCTCTTAAGGTAACACTACACTACCTGTGTTTCACAGGGTCCATTGCCATCAGCTCCAGAAACCCACAACCACAGGAAGCCAAGAGACAGCAGCCATCAGGACATTCAGGATATGGTGCCGAAAAGAAACTGCCTTACATTGATCAGTGATCTGGCTATATTATTATGCTTTTTTAAATTATTTAACTATAAATAGGATATTCAACATTATAGTATGTCATTGTAATTGACACTCCAGGCAACAAAATTAAAGACAAAATCTGTGAAGATTAATATTTTGATTTTACTGTGATTTCCTTGTACATTAAACCTACACCTCTTTTGTAGTTATACAGCACTAGTAATTATCATTACAACTTTTATATATATATATATATATATATATATATATATATATATATATATATATATATATAGAAGAATATTAGATTTTTCTTTGTCTTCTATCAACATCTGGCACAATTATTTCAGTAAAATTTACATTTTTCAATTTAATTACCATTGAGGAATCGTATGAATGCTACACAGTGTGAGCTCTTGACATCCTCATTTCAACAGTAATATGTGAAATATTATTTATTTATTAATAATAATGTAATATATTTGTAATAATAAAATAGTAATGTTAACATATGATATAAATATATTATAATACTTTTTTAATATATAATGTATTTTTTCTGTGTTAGCAAAGCTGTACTTTAGAGTCACATGATCCTTCAGAAATCATTCTAATATGCTGATTTGCTGCTCAAACACTTTCTTATTATTATCAATTTTGAAAAAAAAAAAAAAAAGTTGGGCTGCCTAATATTTTGTGGAAACCATTTTTGTTCAGGATTTTTTGATGAATAGAAAAAAAAAGAAAAAAAAATTATTTGAAATAAACTTTTTTTTTAAAAAGTCACTTTTATGACCTTAATTCATCCTTTGCTGAATAAAAGTATTATTTTAATTCTTGCTGACCCCAAACTTTTGAACAATAGTGTATAGATATTCTTATCATCTTTAAGAGTGTAAACATCACACTGTTTCACACAGGAAAACACTGATTATTCATTATCAAGAATGACCAATACTGTTCTCATGGCTAATGAATCAGTAACCAGTTGACTAGGCAAATTTACCACCTGTGCGCAAGGGAAGTTGGAGCCAGCCTCAAGAGAAAATACGGATTTTGAAAAGTCTTGTTTTCAGTCAGTATACCAGAACTAAGTGAGCACATATTCACACTCTCTGTGAACCCAGTGTTTTTTTTTTTAAGAAGACCTACTCTAGATTGTATAGTGAAGCCAAAAGAGACTCTGCTAATGTCATACTCGTTTCTGCACTGTAATGGACAGCCTCGGTATGTATTATATTTCTTTTGTTAATTTATTACCATATGCGGAACAAAGTTTTCTGTTCCAAATATTTGACTTCTATAATAGGCCTACCATAAATGATTTCTTACTGTTTTTTAAAAAAATACTTTATATAGTTTGATGTAACAATGGTTGAGAATAAAGGGAAGAAATAAAATGTTAAATGGGAAACAATATAACTATTAATGTGAGATCTGCTGTGTGTTGCCTTTATTTCATGCGTCCAGTTTTTGCGAGTTATACGCATTCCTGGGTACACATATTTTGTCAGAAAATTTAGTTTTACCCAATAACTCCAAAAAGTCAGAGGGAAATTGTATAGCCTAGGTGAATAACACTGATGTAGTAGCACCAAACCCTGGTTGTAAGCCTAAACATGACAAAAACTGTGAACTTGTCCCCCAAATCTGATTGGTATGTTGTTCCATGTTCCACTTGGTGAAATCAGGTACTGTAGTGTCAACAGGAAAATGAGGGTGAGAGAAGGAGAATATGACCAGGACATGAACTAGAGACTCAAGCCTGGGTATTGATCCTCGCATGCCCTGAGCATGTCCACTGCACCACAACTCTAGCTTATTTTATTCGTATAGTATTGTATTTTCTAATGTTATTTTGCTGTATCATGCTCCACTGTTGTCAGTGTGCCAGATCCTAAAATGAGCAAGATACAAAGTGTCGAGTTGATTTGAGGTTATTGAGTGAACTGATGTAAACAGAACAGGACAGTTAGTAACAGGAAGATGGTGCACCACAGGAAGTAGATTCTCGAACAGTGATGTGTCAGATCCACCTGTCTACTTTCACACTGCTCTAAAAACCTGGAAATGGCCTGGTGTGAACTGACAGTCTGTATGTTAAATGGCTGAGCTATGAAAAAGAAAGTTCCTTCTTTGCACACTTTTGCTTTAACAGACCTCCAATCAGCAGCTCCATCCACTGACACCATCCACCAGGGTCCCAGCATTGCTATTACAAATAAGTATAGACATTTTTTACATATTCATTTTCATTCTTAAAGGCCAAAATCACACTGCACATGCAGACCAATGCCGAGATTACCCGAATTTCACCAGAATACGGCACGTCACGTGATTCAGTGAAAACAAGCTCAAACAGACTCCGGCAGGGATTATAACACACTAACAACCGAGTGTCTGTTGCCTAATTGTCAGCGCAGTGTGACTTGGCCTTAAAGGTTATTGTGTTTCTTTTGGCTTATTTAAATTTTCAAAAACATAATGCCGTTTGTTCTTTAGTATCTCTGCTGCTGTTATTAAGGTGTTCAAGGGAGAGGAACTACAGCCGAATGAGCTGTACTCCTTGTGTCAAAATACCAGGTATAAACACTTAAAATCACATTTAAAAATGAGTAATAACTACATTAAGCAGTTGTTTGCTTTCATCCACGCAGGTGGCTTCTAAGGGCGGATATGGGCTTCTTTATCAAAGAGTATTTCCAGGTGTCAGTTCCCACAGCACAGCCATGATGTTTTTTTTTGTTTTGTTTTGTTTGTTTTTAGTAGTAAATGGATTACAGGTAGAAGGAAAACCTGCTGATATTGCCTTTGCTTGATTGATTACAGAATCAGATTTTGACCAAAGGTCTATCAATTGTTTTGGATGAGATACAAAAGTATGAAGGTGAGACTCTAGTGGATCTGTATAGATGAGTGTTTATCATGAAACAGACCTTTAACGTGATCCTTTTTCCCCCCCTATAGGAGAGTCTGGAGAGAGACAGCTTTTTGTTTTGGCCCAGGTGTGGGACAGATTTTTCTCTGAGATTCTACCAACTTTACAAGCTATTTTATATCCTCTGCAGGTAAATCTGATTGTGAGCTTGAAAATGTCCCTGTCTAGAAAATAGGTTCCAGCACTTAGGCGAGGTCTGAATTTGAAACACCAAATGTGTTCCACAAGGCATGTTAGTCTGTTTGATATGTAGTTGCAACACTATCTCACGACCAATTCGTACGAATTTGACGCATGATTAAAAAGTGTCTAATTCGTACTAATTCGTACGACCTCACTCGTACTAATTCGTACGATTTGTCTAAACCCACGTGAAGGTTAGGTTTAGGGGCGGGGTCAGGGGTAGGTCATTCGTACGAATTCATACGAATTGGCCAATTCGTAAAATATGTACGATTTAGCAAAATCGTATTAATTCGTACGAGTGAGGTCGTATGAATTGTTACGAATTTTGACATGATGAGCACTGTAAGATCACAGAGGCAGACAAGCAAAATGGCCTTTTTATACATGTCGATACATGTCTTAGTTGTGCATCTGTGAAGTTTGAAGCTAGAAATGGAAAGTGTTTTACAGTCCTCAATCTCGTGGGCTGATGACAACTACTTGATGTTGTGGGACAAAGTGACTGATTGGGGAGATTCCACAGCTGATGAAATTTGGGAGAAGGATGTTGACTTGAGTACATGGAAGGTGGTTATGCTGCTGCTATGCATATGTGTCTTGTGTGGGCATTCACAGATCAGGTAGAGAGCCTTTTAGTTGCTGCAGTTCATCCAGTGTGATAATGATATCTGAGGATAAACTCATGCTGCAAGTAAAACAGTCAGACACCAAATCAGCTTCTCTGCACCTGAAGATCTGGTGCTGATCCCCAATTTTGTACTTTTAAAGAATTTAAAATGTAAAAAGACCGCAATGCATGTCACAGCCAGAGGCAAAGAATCGGGAAGTATTACATCTACTTTGAAGAATGATAACTTCCTGTTTAAGTTCTGGTATATTTTGATTTTGCATGAAGTATTCAGTGTCTTTCTCTTTGTGTGCAGGGACAGGAGTTGACAGTGAGACAGATGACTCTTCTCGGCTTTAGGGATCTGGTCCTAATGAAGCTTTCTCTGGGTGACCTGCTGTGCAAGAATCGATCGCTTATCCCAGCATCCATCACACAGATGCTCCTTGTGCTACAGGTGAATGTTAACTGCAAACCCATGCTGAAAAGCCATCTGTAGGCTATAACATCTCTATTTTCCATGTCTGTTCTTATTTAGGGAATTCAGGAATCCAGAGGCCCTTCAAAGGAATATTGCCAGCTTGAAAGTCTGGTGGCGCTAGTGGTCACACCCTATCTATGGAACTGCAGGCACACAAGTAAAAAACAACTTTGATTCATAGTTAAATTTAATTTGTTGCCATCTCAAAATGCTTTCACATTTCACAGTGCTGCAGGTATGTTGTATTTTTGTTGACCAAAACACAGAAGCGAGTTAGCATTTTAGCACTAGCCTACTGTTTCTATCGCTATCAATGTTTTTTTGGTAACACTTTAAAATAATGGTCCATAGTTAACAAGTAGCTATGCAGGAAGTAATAGGTAGTACTGCATTAACACCGAACTTAATACTATTAACTAATATGGAAGCAATATTAACTAAGCATTAAGTAATAGGTAATTTAGTACAAAGGTAGTTCCTTGGTAGGTATATTACTAAAGAATATATCCTCATTGAGAACTACTTGTGAACTAAGAAATAATAACCAATTAATTACTAATCACAAAAGTACCATGTCTAAAAAGTGAACAATTGTGGGGTTTTTATACTCTTAACATGATCATAACATTTCAGAAGCACATGCCTCAAATGGGTTCTTTGTGGAAACCAGTTTATGAAGTTTATATATCCTCCCAAATACATTAGCTAGGTTGAGATTGTGACCACTACTCTTGCCAGGATGGACGCATGTTCTCTGTTTGTTTAAAACTTAAACATAAAATAATCCTAATAAAGACAGTTTTTAAAAATAAACCTTAAATAATTAGGAAGTGATGCTGACACTCTCATGATTGGATTAGTTCACTATGAGCTCTATTGAATGTCAGTCACATATATCTCAGACTCCAAAGACCTATAACTTTATGTTACAGTAGCTGCCTGAGGAGGACTTCTCTTTAGGACATGAATATAAACATTGATGTTCACTTGTCAAAAACAATTAGCATCTTTAATGAAGAAATTGGCTGCATTTATGTTACGATAAGCGCAAAACCACATCTTCCAGATTACAGTGTTTGTTAGAATATTAGTGCCTCACAGAACCTGTACAGTATGTGGCAAATATAAAATTAAATTACTTGTATCATTTGTGAAAAACATGTTAACGCCTCAATAACTACTTAAGCGTTACCTTGTCATCCCGCAGGAACTACTAGTGATGTGGCCCATTATTTTAAAGTGAAAAACATGTTAACTCCTAACTAACTACATGCGTTACCTTGTCATCCCGCAATGTTTACACAAGGTAACGCTTGTAGTTAGTTAGGAGTTAACATGTTTTTCACTTTAAAATAATGGGCCACATCACTAGTAGTTCCTGCGGGATGACAAGGTAACGCTTAAGTAGTTAGTGAGGCGTTAACATGTTTTTCACAAATGACACAAGTTATTTAATTTTATATTTGACACTTACTGTACAGGTTCTGTGAGGCACTAATGTTCTAACAAACAAATCTGGAAGATGTGGTTTTTCTGCTTATCGTAACATAAATGCAGCCAATTTCTTCATTAAAGATGCTAATTGTTTTTGACAAGTGAACATCGATGTTTATATTCATGTCCTAAAGAGAAGTCCTCCTCAGGCAGCTACTGTAACATAAAGTTATAGGTCTTTGCCCAGACAGCAAACTGACATTGAATCAACGTGGAAACGACGTCTCTCATGACATTGAAACAACGTTGATTTGCTCATCGAATTAACGTTGAACCAACGTCAGACGCGGCATTCTTCAAAGCTAAATGAAATCGAAAATTGGTTTGCTTTCATAACGTTGAAACAACGCGTTGATTTCAAGTTGATTTTCCGTTAGTTTTGAAAGAATGACGCATCTGACGTTGGTTCAACGTTAATTCGATGAGCAAAACAATGTCAGATCAACGTTGTTTCTATGTCATATTTCCACGTTGATTCAATGTCAGTTTGCTATCTGGGTGGAGTCTGAGATATATGTGACTGACATTCAATAGAGCTCATAATAGTGAACTAATCCAATCATGAGAGTGTCAGCATCACTTCCTAATTATTTAAGGTTTAATTTTAAAAACTGTCTTTATTAGGATTATTTTATGTTTAAGTTTTAAATAAACAGAGAACATGCGTCCATCCTGGCAAGAGTAGTGGTCACAATCTCAACCTAGCTAATGTATTTGGGAGGATATATAAACTTCATAAACTGGTTTCCACAAAGAACCCATTTGAGGCACATGCTTCTGAAATGTTATGATCATGTTAAGAGTAAAACCCCCACAATGGGCTCTATGCACGGCATTATTTCCGGTGAAGGATTAAGGATGCTCGATAACTTCCGCCGATCATAGAGTCCAATGCAATACCGAGAATTTATATTGAATTTTATACTCCATGGTTATACTAAAGAAACGTTAGTCACAAAAACAGATAAAACAGACACCCCTCGTTGTGTTTATGCTTCTTTTTAAAATTATATTAAATAAACATAACTATATATAAAATTACATCTAAACGTATGTTTCGTTTCAAAGACGGGAGGACAGTAAATATTGAAGACTCTGCCATAATCCCGTTTTCTCCGGTTTTCCTCCGCTTTAATCTACACAACCGGAAATGGACGAGCATCCTTACGTCAAATGCGGAACTTATGCGTGCATATAGCCCATTGTTCACTTTTTAGACATGGTACTTTTGTGATTAGTAATTAATTGGTTATTATTTCTTAGTTCACAAGTAGTTCTCAATGAGGATATATTTCTTTAGTAACAATCAAATACCTACCAAGGAACTACCTTTGTACTAAATTACCTATTACTTAATGCTTAGTTAATATTGCTTCCATATTTAATAGTATTAACTTCGGTGTTAATGCAGTACTACCTATTACTTCCTGCATAGCTACTTGTTAACTACGGACCATTATTTTAAAGTGTTACCGTTTTTTTTTAAATGGGACTTTGGTTAAAAGCCTGAAATAAGGTCTGTGTGAACACAAGCTCAATATATTTCATGTCTAACTGTACGACATACAACACACAAGTAATCACCTATTCATGATTTTTAAAACTTTTACATATTGGCAGTTGCTAAATGGGACTGCAGATGTTGTCTGGGACATTAAACATCATCACCCCGAAAAAGTAAACTCATTTACTCCAGTAATCACACTATTGCAAACTATTCCAACTGGCACTTTCAGATTTTTATTTTTTATAAAGGCTGAAAGAACAAAGAGTTGCCAAAAGCTTGGTGTGAAGTCAAGCGACCGTGGTGTAGTTCGTTTATAGCCAAAGGTTAGCTTTTTATTACTGCTAATTGTATTTAGACTTCAAAATTGTGTTCATTTGTGAAATGAAATGCGTAACTATCAAACTTTTTGTTGAACATATAACATTTTTTTTTTTTTTTTTTCAAAAGTCTTATTGGGTTTTTGTCAACGGAACCAATAATGTGATGCTACTGTAACTTCCGGATTTGGGCTACAAAAACACTACAACTACAAGCTGAATTTGTTTTTGTAATGTTATGTGTTTTAATTCTATTTAGCTTTATTTTTATTTCAGTTTTAAACCATTTAAGTACTTTAACATAAAACTTTATTTCAATTATTGCTATGGCAACATTTCTGATAATCCTTTTTTTTTTGGTAAAGATTTTCAATCGTATCCTCACCCAAAACTATCGAATGACTTCTGAAGTCCATGGTTTACATTCACTTTCATTATGTGTTTAAGAGTGTCCCATGGTATTTTTTTTTTTTTTTTTTGAAGATGAGTAAAGCATGAGATCATTTTCATTCTGGGAGAACTATCCCTTTAAAGCAAACAGACTTCACCTTTGGCTACAAATATGTGATTTTCTCACATTCCTCTAGGCTGCACTGAAGCTGAACAAAGCATCACAAGAGCACACCCGAGTCATCCTGAGATAAGGATAACTCATTACATCTCTGAAGGCTCTTTGCTGTCCCCTGTATTAGAACAGGAAGGGGAGGTGTACCTAGAGCGAGTGGGAAACCTACGCCGCCACAGCGTGACAAATGCTCATTCTGACATTCAGCTGCTCACCGTTACTAGCAGAATGTATTCTGGGATGGACGACAGCTGTGAGATCATAGATTGACAAGAACAACACATCTTGAAAACTGCCAATTATGAATGCATCTGTGAGGACTAAAAATGCACAGGAGAGACAGAAAACAGGACATTGACAATAATTTATAGGCACATTTGAGCACTGAATATTTTGATGAAAAAAATAACACTATGAAAAAAGGATTTTTTGTCAGATTTCCAGTGTCAATACAATTATAAGATATACTTGCATACATTATTAGTCCATCTGATTAAAGAAAATGATTACTTATTTTGTCAATGATGTTCAATGAAGCAAGCAGAACATTCACACATGTAAGCAATATTGGACACAAATTAAGTAAGGTAAATGGTGCCATTTGGATTAACATTTTTGGATTAAAGGTGCGGTCACATTTACTGTTTAGCGAATTGTCCAGTTATTTCAATACAAAATCCATGTAGTTGGAAATTTCCGCACGAGGTCGTAAAAATTCCCCAGGCAGTTCAAATTGTCACATGGATTCGTGGCCTTGACCATCAGCGTGTGCTTAATCCATTGCTACACTATTGACAAGACCATTTTTGATTTTTTTTTTTTCCATTTGAAGTTTTGATTGCTAATGTATGGAACCCCCATTGTCCCACTTAGTCAAAAAAATGTATTATAACTATCACTATCTATATCTCTAACTATCTTGAGGTCACAAGTTACTATTTTGGGGTCATGAGATAGTTACAATTAATTTTTTTGACAAAGTGGGACTAGGGGGACTCCGTACTAACGTGATCGCACTTTAAGGAGTAGTTCACTTTAAAATGAAAATGAACCCATGATTTGCTCACCCTCAAGCCATTCTAGGTGTATATAACTTTCTTCTTTCAGACGAATACAGTCAGAATTATATTAATAAACACCCTGATGCTTCTGAGCTTTATAATGGCAGTGGTATGTATTCATCTAAAAGAAGAAAGTCTTATACACCTAGGATGGCTTGAGGGTGAGTAAATCATGGGTTCATTTTCATTTTAAAGTCCCTATAAAGTCAAAATTAAGTGTGTTCTGAAGTTGTCAGACCACAGAAAAATGTGTTATTAGCCACCCAGCCAAATCTGAATCATTAAAAAAAAACAGTGAGTACATAAAATAACCTATCAAAATCTTGAAAAAATATGCAGTATTCTCTGCTCTCAATCACTGAGGGTGTGTCCACTGGCTGCACTGAAACCACGCCCACTTGCGGGAGAGCTGCTGACGGTAATATTAGGCGATACTGCTTTCAGGACGGGGAGATGAAGGCAGAGGCGGGAGATAGTCAGTTCGGGAAATACTCCTTCTGTATAAATACTCCTTTTGTCACAAATTTTGCATTTTGCCAAGATTTCGTTATTTTTAGAAAAGTGAAGCCACACTTTGGATCGCCGACGTAAGGTACTCATGTTCGACTCGCATGCCATCACTTCCGGTAGACGCTTCTTCGTTGGTGTTGTTCAACGGTTTCTTCTTCCGCTCAGCGGACTGTGAATATCGAAACTAGGAATCGAAATTTTAACTTTTGAACGATTCCGGGAAAAACGAAAAGTAAGTCTCGGTTCCAATCGATACTCGATTCTCGATACCCAACCCTACTCTTCACAAAATTAATCCAACTTTTTTTGACGTGATCGTTTTTCGGAAATTTAGATAAGGACACGATTTGTTTTGTATGTGATCGATCGCATTCAGGTAGTACGCATTTCTGTGACGAAGGCATAGCTAGTTAGCAAACTGTAGGCTGTAGTAACTAATAGTACTGACAGTAACTCCCGTTTGAGCAGCAAACTGATGTGAATGTGCTCTAGATATATTGTTAGGGGAGGGGCCAGCCTCAGTGAGTCATCAAGTAGGGGCGTGTCCACGAGCTCAGGGGCTCCAGTGCATCATCAAGCCCCGCTTTAACCCCGCCCCAAAAAATCCAGAACACAGCAATGGTGAAAAATTGTTTAACGGTGTAACTCCACAATTAAATACTTCAGTTCACAAACTTAGTAATATGTTTTAGCAATACAGTTCTAACATTTATAATGTGTTTACATTTTTATTTAGAATTGCCTTTAGAGGGACTTTAAAGTGAACTACTCCTTTAAGTATATGCACATTTTGAAGTTGATGTACCATATCCAGTAGAGCGACAGTAAACAGTGCTGCTCTGTACTATTGATGCTTTGAATCGTCAGATCATGTCAAATCAATGAAAATTATGTATTTCATGGGGGAAAAAAAGAGCAAAAACATTTTATTTAAAATCACAGCACTTACCCTTGGTGGGTAAGGCAGCAAAATTGAGCAGTTGAATGTAGTTTTGTGAAATTGATTTGTAGAAGCTAACACTTAGCATAAGCAGCACCATTACATACTGTTTTACACCCTTTAGCTTGGTTGACAGGACATTCAGTGGAATTGCAAACAGATGTTTGTCGATTGATTGCACTGCACTAAAATGTTTTGCAAAACATTTGAATATAAAACATTTTTCATAACAGACAGGCATTGCGAGTTATGCAATCATCATTACTTAGTCAAAGTAATGAAAGTCAAAAAAAAAAAAAAAAGGTTTAGTTGGTATTTTCAGCAGAGTGTCAATGAGAACTTGAGAATGCAGGAGCGATGTAGGAACTCAAAGTGAAGGTTCTGGGCCCCGGGGTTGGACCCCCTCCCTCCTCAGGCTTGCATCGAATCGTGGTGTGACCTCGCAGCGCACCAACAGCACGTCCTCTTTCACAAACCCACGCTGCCGCAACGCCTGCAGGTGAAGGAAAGTAACATAGCCGAAACCCTTGGGGTTGCGTTGGACAGTGGGCCTCTGGAACGCCTGTAGGTCTGGCTTGGTCTCCATCACTTCCACATGGTGCTGCCCCTCGACCTGGTCCAACACTGCCAGTCGGATCGTACCCTGGAAAGGCCAGGAGAGCTGGCTGTCAAACTCACCCTGCATAGTGTGCACGAAAAGCGAGATGTAGTTGGAACAGCGAGGGGCGCTGGGGGTTTGCAGATGCAGTCGGAGACAGAGTTTGTACCCCGGCCGGCCCGTGTAAAAAGGTGGGCTGTGGAGAACTATGGGCTGACCAGCCTCTTGGTTGCGCAGGTGGAGTGAGAAGTTCTCCAAGCGCCACACGTAGACGCCTTGGTACTGCTGGGCTTCCAGCTCGCGGGTGGCCTCTTCCAGGGAGCTCAGCTTTCGGCGTAGTTCGGTGACCTGGTTTTTCTGTGTTTCATTGTGGATGCACAGCTCCCGAATCTGTTGGTCTTGACGCACCAGCCGACCCTCCAGCTCCAAGACTGTCTCCCGTAGGTTTATCAGCTCCTGTTTACACTGGCAAGAATCTGCCACCCGTGAAGAGGCACCACGTTCGTCTGACGAAGACTGGGCGGCAACCGACGGGGTTAGGCAGCCATTGAGAGTTTGGCTACGCAGAAACTCAGCCATGTAGCGCATGTGCATCTGTGTAAATTCCTGCATGTGCTGGGCAAGTTCATTTCTCGGCATCTGCAACACATTTCCAAAGAATTACAAAGGTTTTTAAAGTTAGACGTCGGAAGAAATCTCGTCATGCCCGACAAGGCTGCAATAATTTGAACAAAAATACAGTACAAAAAATTAACATGACATATTATTACAATCTAAAATAACTGATTTCTATTTTAATATATTTTAAAAGCAATGCTGACTTTTCAGCAGACATTACTCTTCATGAAGAATTATAATATTATGATCAATGCTGTACACAGTTGTGCTGCTTACTATTTTTTCAGGCATCTTTGATAAATAGCTCAGTATCTATTTGAAATAGAAATGTGTTATACAACAGGAATCTAATGGCCCACCTTTTCACGACAACCAAAAGTGCTGAAAGTACAGGCTACAGGTGCTTTCAGACAGTCTGTGTCACAGTGCAATGCCAACTGAAAACAATAAGAACAGATTCATTCAGCTTTATTGTTCCATAATGTATCATTTTAGGTATCACAGTCAATTACTGTTGTGCCTCAGGTAAAATGCATATTAGTGACAAATCCTCTGACACACCTGATCCCGAATAAGCTCCATTTCACAATATTCACACACCGTATTTGCGAAAGGACAAATCTGTTCATGAATCTACACAAAAGGAAACAAAAAGTTTTAGACTCTAATGTCACATTGTTGTTATTGTTAACTAAAAAAAAAAAAAAAAAAAACTAAAACTTGCATAACAATTGATTACAGCTATTGATTAAAACTATTAAAATGTCAAAAACCAGAAAAAACCTGAAAAATATAAAATATGAAAAAATATACAAATAAAAGCTAATTTAAAGTATTAAAGGACAAGTTTGCTATTTTACACCTAAAGCCCTGTTTTAAGATTGTTTCTGATGAAATAGAACGGTTAAGATTAAAATTTGGACAAATGCTGCTGTCCCGAGAATTTTCGGTTTATGTGGTTGCAGAACTCACTCAAAAATCACTGCAAAAGATGCTTACCAAGTCAATGGAGTTGGACAAAAACTACGATAAAACCTTGGTGTCCAAATTTTAATCTTGACCGTTCTAAAATACTGAAGTGTAAAATACCGAACTTTTCCTTTAATACTTCAATAGTAAATAAATAATACTAACACTACAATGATGTTAGAAAAAAATTAGAAAAAAATAAAATAAATGTATAACCCCTGATTATAGATTTACTTTCAAAAAATGTTTATGCCATTCTAAATATATCTAGTATGTGAAGAGGAATTAAGGGTTTTCACCTGTTTGTTAGCATACACAAAACTCCCTGCGCAGTCAGGGCAGGTCATGAGCCGCTGTAAGCACTGCTGGCTCTTGTGTTCATCCAGATGGCTCTTACGAACAGACTCCAGGCACTGAGGGCATGGTGCTGTGCTAAACTTGCACTGAGACAAGTGTCTCTGAGGGAGAGAGAATGTAACAATTTACAAACAAGACATGACATTTATGAACGGTCTTTCTCGAGTCGTCAATGCATAACTATCCATGAACTGTTTTAATAAATAATAACAAGCTTTTAGGTCAGAAAGTTTTTTCCAACCATTTTTAAGAACCTGGGGACAGATTTTTAAATTATTATTATTAAGAAAGAAGTTAAAGGGGACCTTTTATGCAAAATTTACTTAAATTGCTTTTTAACATAATTATGTCTCCACTGTGTTTACACAACCACCCTATTGTGGTATAAAAAAAAATCCATTCATCCAGTGTTATTTTCCCCTTAAATCTGAAATAGTAACTCAAAATGAGCCTTTCAGGAATGTGCTCCAATGCAATGTCACATTGGAACAGGCCCCGCCCATCACCGACTTACTTCCTCCCCTGAGTGAGCTATACACAGTGTAGTGTGTGTATCTCCTTGCCAGTGCATTTAACAGCAACATTCAAGTAAGAATGCATATTCTAATGTCCTGTGTATTTTAAATGGTATTTAATAAGAGCCTGTCCCAAGTTGGAGTAGTCTGTTGCAATCATTCTGTTTGACTTTACTAGGTAATTTTATGGTCCCGTGGTGTGACCAATTCAGTTTTAGTTGCAAGTGCAAATATTTAAAATGCAGCATTTAATAAGACCAAATAGGGTATTCCTGCAATACTGAATACCACAGTTTCAGGACCACTTTTTAGAATGTATGTACTATTTTATATCACTTACTATTCAATTCTGTATTTATATGATCAATTTTCAGGAATTATTTTAAGACCCACTGTGGTGAAAATTAAGTGTTTTACAGCATGTATATAAGTACAGTATTACAGCTGTATCTTAATGGCATCTTTTTTTATGAATGAAAGCCAGTATCACTAATATTATAGCTACTGATATCTCGATGAAAACGATTTTCCCAAAAATATTTAACGTTAGGCTTAAAAAAATATAGACAATCAACTTAAGACAATCCTCATTAAACCCATAATAAAGGTCATATTTATCTGCACCAAACATAATTTGAATAAGGTTATTTAACAGTACACACTGCATAAATTATAAAAGAAATATTAATCCTTATCAAAGCTACAAGCGTTCTTTAGTCAAGTGCAGTTAGTCATTTTCTCTGTTCTTTGGTTTAACTTTACTCAGACAGAATGGCTCCTACATGTCCTGATCTCACGCATCTCATTCTCTCACTACTACTTACTTCCATTTAAGATTTTATTTAATTTATTTAAGACTGTTCTTGTGAGGATACTCGACAAAATGGACATTCTGGCATACATGTGTGTGTTATTGTTCGTTCATGCGTGGGAGATACTGGCGCGCGCCTTGTCACGAAGGAATGGTAAAACTTTAAGCATTTGCGTGAATGAGAGCGTGATCATAATCCTAGCTAAATGATATACAGACAGAAAGAACTGATGGATTGCCTTTAAATACTTTAAAACATTAAAGCTGGACAAAAATGAATCGTATGCGTTGACAGCATTAGTCATACATTGCTGACAGAAAATATTGTGGTTTGAATTGCGGTTTGACTCGTTAGGCCTAACTTACACAGAATGTTTTTTTAGTGAGCTACACAGAATGTTCTACATTTAATATTTAGCTAATTTCCTGGATCAACCAACTCACATCTCCTTTCTTTCTTTTCATCCATGATGACATTAGTCAAGCTATTTCTGGCGTTTCATCACTAACTGTGTCGCAATCTATTTTTATAGTCGATGGTCGCAATTATTAGAGCTTTCAGTGAGCTATTTCACACAGGCTCGGTCCTGCTCCTCCGTGCCGTGGCGATGACTGCGTGTGGTTAAAAGTCACAAACAAACGAATTTGAAAGTGTGGGGGGGAGGGACACGTCCGCATAGGAAATTACACCCGTGGGTAAAAAATCATCCCCGGAATTTATGAACTATGAAGCGCTCCATGCTTTCACCGACGACGCTATGGATCTCAATCACACTGTGTCGCTTGGACCCACCCTGCTCTGCTTCTGCTAGGCTTGTAACGTGTTAGATCTGTGATCCTCTCATTTGATTGGTAGGTGAAATCAATTGACTCCATTGAAATATTAAACCACATGCAATTTCACAATCATGTCATTGAGACGTGGTCTGGGAACCACAAATTTACCTCCAGTTGGCGCAACTCCATTTTATCACTGCATCCTACATTAGGACATCTGATGGTGAGCGAAAGGATCTCTCGTTTGGCAAAGTTATCAGCAAAGAGCTGTTCCTCGAGCAGCACCTCATTGTCAACTGGACATTTTTGCCCTGTGTCTCTGCAAGGCAGAAGAAAGAGTGTTATATTTAACATTTTTAATACTGTAAAGCCTGGCATATGAGATAATGGTCAGAAAAATCTGTTTTAAATAAATGGAGAAGTTTAGACAAATAAAGGGTTTGCGTATTTGTTTTTTGTTGAGTATCATGTATAATGCAAGCCCATTTAGTATATGAAGCTCAAATTTGTGGAGGAAAAAACACCTCAATTAGGCTCAGAGGCTCAAACTGAGCAAAAATACATTGGTATTGTTAGTATAAAATACATTGGTATACAGAATACAATACCAAGGGACATTTCACCCAGAAATTAAAATTCTGTCAATCACTCACCCTCATGCATGTGCCAAACACATAAGTACGTATGTTCACTGATCAATGTATATGTGAATAAAAGCAATCTGTTCATCATATAAAGTGATCGTATCTCTTCAGAAAATTTGGACTAATCTACTCAATTCATACGGATTAGTTTAACAATCTTTATGAACTTTTTCAAAGCATTTAAGTGGTAGTTGCGTAGCTATCTATGGAGGGACAGAAAGCTCTCCGATTTCATCAAAAAGATCTTCATTTGTGTTCCAAGGATGAACAAAAGTCTTATGGGTTTGGAACGATATGAGGGTGAGTAATTAGTGAAAGAATTTTCATTTTTTGGCAAATTATACCTTTAAAGTCTTCAGTCAAGTAGGTGTTCATCTTGAAATATTACTATCATTCAATCAGACAAAATATGTGTGCAACAGGTTTTGCAGCAAAGTTTTGGTCACGTTGATAATTTAGATTACGTAGTAATTTGCATATCAAATATGATACGCTTCACAGGGTCAATTTTGAAAGTTACAAATATACTAACCTGATGGACTTCCTGATGCACAAGTCACAGAATCGATGTCCACATGGTGTCTGTACTGCCGAGCGGAGACCCATTAGACAGATAGGACACTCATACTTGCTCTCTAGTGGAGGGTCAAACTCTACATCATAGCCTTGCTGGTCTGGGGGGATACTAGAAGAGACACTGATGGTGGAGGGGTTCTCTGTCGGGCTCAGATACGAATCTCTTTCTTTCTCCAAGGCTAATGCACAACTGGAGTATTCACCCTCACAACAGCCATCATCGAGGCTGGACTTATCCATGTCGTTGCAAGCCATCTGTAATCACATCAAGACAGTGTTATATGTTGATGTGCGAAAATAATAGATAATCATCCATACAACACACATATAACAGCAAAACACAAATCTGGCCACCAAAATGTATGGTGCTTTTCATATGATCTGAATGTAGCACAGAAATTGACCGACCTCTAGGTTTTCAAAACATCGACATGCTTTCGAAGTCTTAATTGCACAGATGAAGTGGTCACAGAACAGATATTAAGTGCATTTCCGCTAAACTAATGCAAAGAGGGAAGGCATGGGATGAGAAACTACAGGCCTTTGATGTATTCATCTTTAAACTACTGTTTCCTCACGAGCATGCAGGGCGGGGCTGATTTGTTGGAGAAACTTTTCTCTATCAGCAAGTGGAAAGGTACTTTTTTATAGTCCAAAACACCCACATTGCACATTGCAAAAGTAAAATGTACATCTGTAAAAGGTTAAACTTATCTTCTATCTAAATATCAAATTAAATTCAAAATCAATAGGAGTAAAAAGGCGAACATAGGTAACACAACCGACACAACCGAACCGTTAACGTATCAGCAACTTTCCTGCCGTCGCCTGTTAAACACACATTCTAACCTGACATTATTGTTGTTATAATACTACACACTTCTTGGTATAGCATACGATTCGATTGCAGATGACAATCCTCCGTAATAGTTTTAATTTACATACCCTGGCTCGGTCCGGCCTCGCTGTCTACTACAGCTTCCTGTATAATTGACTCCAAACATTCAACGCATTAGCGCAACGTCACAGGGGCAAACCTCCCCTCGTGACTCTGCTCTGATCCCAGACCTGTGCTCCCAACCGTATCCTCGCGAGAATCACCGCGATGTCGACGTCTGTTGGCCTCTCGATCGGCAGAAAGCGAGTTTTGTGAAGGGATTTTACTGCAGTTACTAAACTGAAATCCACGAGATGGCGCGGTTACCTCTGATTCTGAACCAGAGAACTTATTCACCAAGGTGACAGCAGTGTCAGTAAAGAACTTGCTTGAGATCATTACATCACTCTGATATTTTGGTAAATTCTAAAATACACACACACAATAATAATAATAATAATAATAAATAACTAAATACATTTTCTGAGAGATAACATTATTTGTGTGTAGGCTATAAATGCTAACTCACCATGATGCTGCTATCCAAGAGTTGGCTTGGCTGCACACAATACCTTAACTGAAAGGTAAGTTGACTGACCAACCACATAGCATTTTCTTAATCAGGTTAACCTCACATTTGAATAGGCTAGCTTATATTTGAATTAAAATCAATTCAAATGTCAAACCCTAATGATATACAACATAGGCTGTGTCCCAAAGGATGCAGCCTCTTAATTGGGACAAGTCTACAGTCAAATAGGCCTATACTCATTGACAATCAGTATTGTAGATAAAACACTGAGGTAAAAAAAAGAGAGGACACTTACAATAATGTGTTTAAAATGTCCATCACATAAAAATTGTTTTGATAAACCATTTGTTAGTGGCTTGTTTGGTTAATAGTCTAAATTTGACAGAACACAATAGTCTAAGTATTAAATAGGTGAGCTGAAATATAAATATAATAATAATAAATAAATAAATATAAAAACTAATAAATCAAGACGGAAACAAATAAACTATTAAGCTATTCAAAATTCTGAAAGACTGAGTGACAAAAAAATAGGAAGCAGTAAACAAGGCACGAGTTGCTACATGGTCACATACATTCACATGTGCTTATATTCTTGTTTTCTATATGCATTTACTGGACATTGTGGCACATCTGTGATCAAAATCATGTTTGCGGTTTTCCCAAATTGCACTTATGCTCAAAACAAAACTGGAAGTCTGTTAAAAGAAAAGGTCTGTGTAAACATTTGCACAGATTTCTGTTTGAGTAAGAAGGCGTGCCCTGCATCCTGAGGTCGGTCAATAAGGAGCCTTGTTATATGCAGGTTGTTGACCGGGCTGTTTATAAAATGTGCTTTTCATAAGTGACATAGAAGCTCAGTGTGACCCCCACCTACCCAAACTTTAACATACTATGTGGGCTGTGATCAGGCTACAAACAGACTGGCAAAAATTTACTTACAAGTAATGCTCAGTCCTCAGAAAAAAAAGACAAAAAAATAAATAAATAAAATAAACTGTGCTGACATCAGTTGTGAGGTCTAGGTCTTGGTCAGGAATGGCATTCGTTTATTACTGAATACCAGTCTTGGAATTGGGAAGACTTGTGTGGCTCTGGAATATCTGGAATAGTGTCAATCTAAATTGTGTCATTTTATATGGTCATACTAAAATGTAAGCCAGAGGAGAACTGGCCCCCGACTGAGCCTGGGTTCTCCCAAGGTTTTTTCTCCATCCAATCTGATGGAGTTTGGTTCCTTGCCACTGTCGCCTTGCTTTTGGCTTGCTTTGAGCTTGCTCAGTTGGGGTTATTTAGTGTTTAGCAATGTTGTTGATCTGTGTTGTGCTACTTTCATGTTATCACTGTGAAGCTGCTTTGATACAATCTGTATTGTGAAAAGCGCTATATAAATAAATGTGACTTGACTTGACTTGACTTGACTTAAAATGCCAGAGCAATCAAATAACACACACACATACATATAACACACTTAAAAAAAAAACAATATATGAAAAGTTCAGATGCAAAAGCCTCTAAATGCCATTTGAAATTTTCTTCTTTAATGATGATTTTTTATCAAACTTGTATATTTAAGTTCAGTAATTTCACTTAAATGGCAATGATAATTACCTATTAATTGTTATTTAAGTGAAATTACTGAACTTAAATATACAAGCTTGATAAAAATCATCATTAAAGAAGAAAATTTCAAATGGCATTTAGAGGCTTTTGCATCTGAACTCTTCATATATATAAATATACATATATGAACAAATATTTTTTCATATATTTTTTCATAGCTAGAAAGCCATAGACCATTTGACACAGTGAACCACCAAATCCTCAGGTCGTCAAAACTGCACATCTCTGACTTGAGTCCTACCTCACTGGCAGGGTCAACTACATTTCATGCCAGGTTGTTGCTTCAGTATGGGCACTTTTGACATTTGGTGATATTTTGTCAACTTCATTACCAATGGAATCACCATTGGCTTGTAGAAATGTTGGTTTACTCAGCAGACTTTAGACGCATATGTATGTGTGTGAAAAGTTTAAGATACAATTTTTAAGAATATTATATTTTAATATATTTTAAAATGTCATTTATTCCTGTGATACAAAGCTGAATTGTTTTGCATCATTACTCCAGTCTTTAATGTCACATGCTCCTTCAGAAATCATTCTTATATGCTTATTTGCTACTCAAGAAACTTTTTATTGTCAGTAATTAATGATGCACTGGAGGCAAGTTGCGAGAGAACCCAAGTGCAGTTTATTCAAAATTAACAGGATCAACGTGGCATGAAACAAAACCATTGACATGGACTTTGCAACAGTGGATCACAGAAATCAAGACACATGGCAAACATGAGGGCTTAAATACACAAGACTAGACAAGACACACCTGTGAACAATGCACATATGATTATCCAATGACAAGACACATGGCAAGATCACATGTCAAACAGGGAATCACATGACAGACATGGAACAAGACATGAAGAAAATGAAAACATGACCGAGACAAGACCAAATCGTGAAAGACCATATGCAAGTTTTTCAGGCTTCTTGGTAAAATGAAAATTTATCTGAAATGAAAAGCTTTTGTTACATACAGTACTACCATTTAAAAGTTTGAGGACAATAAGAATTTTTGGTAACACTTTACAATAAGGTTCCATTAGTTAACGCATTAGTTTACACGAACTAACCATGAACAACATCTCTGTTCAGCAAGTTCATATTTGTTAACATAACTCACACATCTACTAATGCATCAATTCACATTAATAGCCCGGGTAGGTAACATTAGTTATTTAACATGAACTAACCATGAACGATGCCTGTAAATAGCTTTAATGTTTTGTAAAGTTCAGTTACTGTACATAATTACATTTGTTTGCGTAGCAGTTGACACACTATGGAGCGCAAAGGGAGCGCTAGAGGTATTTCAGGTGTCATGGAAAGAGAGTTTGATTGCTTACAGAGAGGCCTTAAAAACTGCTCTACTTAGCTATTTAAACTGGCTAAACCAACGAAAAAGAAAGTTTCAAGCCCAGAAGTATACATAATATATAGCGCTATATAAATATACTTGACACTGAGCATTTCTAGCTCACAATGTTACCCTAAATCTAAAAATACTATTGTGTAGCCTGCCTTATTTATTTATTTATTTATTTTTTTAATATACATAGACCTACAGCTAAACACCACACATTCAATAAGCTTCAAACAAGCAACAAGCAGCCATTAAAACATTCAGATCTTAGACTTTTAACCTGGGCTTACAGAGAGAATAATGATTGTGTGTTCAAATGCTATACATTTTGGTGGACTTCATCACTTTAGCCTCTCACATGTTTTGACAAAAGAATCTCTGTTGGAGAGGGATCAGTAACGCACCTATACATGTTCTTTATTTAGTCAAACCAGAAGTGAAGTTGCTCTGCTGATTGAGTGATATAGAACAATAGATGCCATTATAAAAGTTCTCTGTCCTCCTCATTGGATAACCATGACTAAGTACCTTTGTAGTAGTCTAAGATGCATGTATTTATATAATCTTGATGGTGTTTTCAGACCATCTGCTTACACTACTTCAGATCGCAATTCTCGCGCATGCTTCGTGGAAATCTATAAGGAAGTCTCGTTCTGGCCTACAAGGAAGAAAAGAAATAGTCGAATAAACTCGTTATTTTTGTTTGTTTTTTCGCACAAAAAGTATTCGCGTCGCTTGATAAACATATAGTTGAGCCACGGTAGTCACTTGGGATATTTAAACATTTTCTTCATTGACTTTTTGGGCCGTCAAGAGGCAGTCCCTTAGGAGCCAATGTGGTAGTTATACAGCTCTCAAATTTAATCAAAAATATCTTCATTTGTGTTCCGAAGACGAACGAAGGTCTTACGGGGTTGGTACAGCATGGGGGTGAGTAATTAATGACTTAATTTTCATTTTTGGGTGAACTAACCCTTTAATTCTCTATGTCTATGCTATGACTACCTATGGTCTCCTTGCACAGTCATATTGGCTTTAGATTTACACCTGTCACGTTCCTTCTTTTTTTAATCAGTTATTGATTTACCTTTACTTCAAGGGATGTTCATTGACTTAGACATCTTCCTGTGTCTATACATTGTGCTTTTCAATTTATTGCGTATGTGTTCTTTTTTCTTTGTATTTGTTCTTCCACAGTACGACTTATCAAGAATAACCAAACCGATTTATTTTTACTTCTAATCAGTTGAATTAAAAAAGTCTTCTCATGGTGAACCATTTATGTGAATTTATGTCACTTTCGATTGTGATTCACTGCTCTCAATCATCATATCATGAAAAAGGGGGTAATAAAAGGAGATGAATGTGAATACCCACAAAATTTCTCGTCTGTCTCTTTTCCTTTATAACCCATTTTTATTTGAAGGAACAGGCGCACTAAAACGCAAGGAATGTCCTCAAGTTATAATCAAAACAAATATCACTTTAGGAGCAACGGTGAACTAAATCCAACACTGGTTTTTAACCTTAAAAGGCGTTTGCATTTTTTTAAATGTTTCCTTTTTTCCTGATTCCAAAGGCAGACATTGTGCAGAGGCATTTGGTGATTCATGTTGTCAACAGCTTTACAGTCAAAAACAAGTGTCCTATTATGAGCAAGCATTAGAAGTGGTAAACTTCAAATGCACTTTGTTTTCTACTTCGCATGCACCATTTGATTTAATAAACAGACAGTAGCTTGTGAGATATGTTCAAACATATGTGAAACACGCTAACCGCAATGATCAGAGCTAGAGACTTTAATCAGCTGTTGAACAAGGATAATGTCAGGTCTGTTCCTGTGGATAAGGAAATACTGTTCTACGTCTCCCCTTAAACGTTAACACACTTAAGCAAACACATGCTTAGGAACAGCGTCTGCTCCAAGTTCATTATGGGACACGTTTGTGAAAATATGTCCTTTAAAAGGTATGGTGAGTAGTGGGTATAGTGCAAGACATGGATCCAGTTTAATTTCAGTTATTCTGTTTCCATTATTTATGATAGGGGAAATTCTTATGGGAAACAATTGAATTTTACTTTTGAACGATTCCTTTTTGTTTTATTTCGATTAATAATTATTAAATGTGGATTTTATTGATAGCATTTACTTTTTTTGTTCCTGTAAATAACAAATACTTACACAATCATCAGTATTTATTCAGGCCTTTTGGATGCAATTGAACAAGCTAAGCATATGCACTTTTTTGTATGGAATATATTTCAATGAGTTAATGGCAAAACATTATCTGTGTGTGATGCACTAAACAGAGACAATTAACAGAGTAAATGAGGGGCACAGCAGCTTTAAGTGAGGTGTGTAAATGGAGACTATTGAGAGAGAGCTGGCGTCCTTCTCCACAGCTCACGGTGCTCTAGAAACCTATGGCTCACAATGCACTGTTCAGTTCCAGCAGGAAAATAAATATGTTCTGCGCTGTCCAAAAATACCATGTGAAGGCGCTCCCTGTGAAAGAAAGCCCATTTCCCGAGAGCAGGGAGTCACTGAGTGCAAAACATTTTGAACCAGATTATGTTAGATTTAGCAGCAGCAAAAACTTTACAAAACTAATCCAGCCATTCAGCTATCAGTCAACTGTGGTATATGCAAGTCAGTGAGATGTCTTGGCAGAAAACAAACAAACAAAAAAAAAAAACATAGAAAATTCAAAGGTCCATAATGTCTTTGGAGGTAAGGCAATACTTTACCTCTCCTCATTCTTCTTAGTACCTAGTAGGGCAAACAGTCCAGTGCCACCACACAGAATGGCAGAAAGCACCTGGAGTGACAGACTGCCCTGAGGAATTCTGTTTCCTCACACAGACTTGCGAAGAAGCTTTTGTGTCTCCCCTGAGACCTGAGTTTTCTCTTTCTCTATAGAAACAAGATTGTCAGTGAGGAGAACGCCTGATGTCTTTCAAGCGTTTGGCCTTTTTGGTGAAAAGAGCCCTTCAGGACAGTGAAATGTCCACAGGTCCCTGAAGGCTTCACTTGGAACTGTGCGTGTTGTCAACGTCAATCACCAAAAGTCAACTGGATTGCTTAAAAACTGGCAAATATATTGTGTCTTGCAAGACTGCTTTTCTACTCATATTAATATCTTCTGAAGATCAGTCACTATATCTATCAGTTACTATATCAGTGTGAATTGCTGTGTTATAATTTCACCTAACCAAAATGGACAATTCCCATTTTTATGGAATATTGCAGTATTTATTATACATGATTTATCCATGCACATAATTGTATTTTTATTCATGTTCCCTCATAGTCTTTCATCAAAATATATGTTGCTCCCTCTTGCAACGACATCCCTTCTCTGATGATGTTTACCAGTGAGAGGGTGGGACAACCTGCATAGATCCTGCAATGATCCACAATCCACATAACAAGTCCTGTCCTACATTTCTGAAGCCATTTCACTCGAATGTGAAAGGGAAGAACTGACTATTTTTTAATGTTTTGTTATTTTTTTTAAAAAAATCTAAACGCATCTGAAAGTAATCAGATATATTTAGCACCCGCTTTAAGACATTGTGTCCCTTTAAAGGTGTAAAGGGACACAGGTTAACCAGAGCAGGTTAACACACCAGGACAAATTTCAAACATACCTTTGCATCTCATTTCATATACACAAACTGCAGAATAAAAGCACAGAGGACAAAGCTCTCACACAAACTCACAGTGGGAACCTCCTCTTTGAAGTCCATTCCAAGCAGTTCAGTTACAGTTTTTAAACACCATCCAAAAGAAACAGAGAGAATGTCCCTCCCATCTAACCCTAAACTGAGTTTAAACGCCGGCTCATGACTGGTTGTCTCTTTTGTGTAATCTGTAGATTAATGATGGGAAAATGGATGGTATGGGTGAAGGTGAGATTAAGGAACATTTTTAAATTAGCATGTAAGTGACAACCTTCAGGAACAAGTGAAAATCCGATCTAAAAATGTTATACTTCAGTTTACTTCGACACAAAGTTCACCACATTCTTTCTGGGTACTCTGTATTCTTATATATTCCAATGTTTTGTGAAACATTGCAAGGTTCTCAAATAAGGACTCTCTTCAATAGGATACGTTGTCATGTTCTTCTGAAAGGAAAGTTTGAGAGGAACAACGGGGTGGGCCAAACTGCTGAATGAAGCCTTGTATTTCTGCTTTCCACTCATGTTAATGTTGCAGCTCCAGAACGCCAATTAATATGATGGACGATTTCTACCAAGAGGCACGATATTTGAAAATATTTGGATGTTTAGCCTATAGCTACTGTAGCCTATACTCCAGTGCATACTCCAGTGAATAACATTTTGCTGCAAAACACAAAATATCCAATATAAAACGATTCAATAAAGAGCACATAGGTCAATCACAGCCCATCCCAGCTAACGATTACACCTTCAAGAATTTAAAAAAGCTTCACCTGAAGTCTGTGTCAGCCAAATACATAGTTTTTACTCTAAAGCTGCCAGTGTTGTTTTAGGCTACTGTCTTCACAGCTAGCACATTAATGAAATTGGAATTTTAAATTGAAGGGGAAAAAACTAAGCTACCTGAAATTATTCTTTTTTTTTTAAACCAATATCGCGTTGCATTATTCAAATGGGAATAACATCATGTATTAGACTTCTAAAAGGCTGTCATTGTTCCTTCAAATGATGTATTATGGCTCAAAAGGGATGTCGACATAAATATCGTCATGATTTGCGTATGTTAACCTCGAACGTTTCGGAGGCTCTGGTAGCCACATTACATCATACGTGGAAATTTTACTTTTTCTCCACCTCTCATTCCCTAGCCCCCCTTCTAGCTCCTGTCCACTAAACGTGTTCCCCTCTAAAGAGAGTTTCTTTCTGCTTCTCATTCTCCGGCCAGAAGCGCCTCTGAACTTTACTGCACACGCGACACTTTTATTACGGGTTTGGACTGAGAGACTCGCGCGCCATCAGAGAGCTGAATCAAGGACTATAAGCGTTTCAGAAGGACACTGAATCATACAGGTGATGTACTTTTTGGCTTTATGTTGTGGTTGCTCTGGCTATACAGGTGAGCACTGTCATAGCATCTCTGGCTTGATTAAGTGTATCTGTGTGAGATTAATTCAAGCTGAAAGTTGTCAACCATCACTCATTCTTTTACATTGATTGAGATGGTATTAGCTACATGTTCAAATATCTGACTGTTAGACAGTGAAGTGAATCAGATTGGATCACTTGGAAATTTGTGCATTTGAAGCATTGATATGTTATGGCTGCTGCAGGATGTTACTGTAATATGAATCGAAATAATGAAAAATATGCATATATAGGCTAAACATTATATTTTGAATCTTGTCGGAAGACAACTGGTTTTGTAATAGGAAACATTTCAGATGCTTTGCTTAAATTGGAGATGAATTAAAAAGTAAATTTTGTTGCTTTTCCATATAACTTATTATTTTAGAGAAACATGGTTTATATTTAAATGTGTTATGTTACTGGTGTTCATGCAAACATCCTGCACTCTTAGAAAAAAGGGTTCTAGCTATATATGAAGCATAGGGTTCTTTACTCAACTCCAAATTACATTTCATGCTAAAAAAGGTTCTATAATGACAAGAAAGAACCCTTTTGGCACAAAGGTTCTTTATAGGCTATTATTCATTCATATATCACATTATTCTGCAATATTTTGTAGTTTTAATTTAATTATTATTTATTAAACTTAATATCACATTTTAATCATGCTGATTTTTGGAGGAGAAAATCTGAAATGACATTAAATACATTTTCTAACCCCCATATCTTGAATTTTGATATAGAAGATTTTAGGGGTTCCAAATACGTAGCGCTTTAGAACCTTTTAAGGTTCTATATAGAATCCATGTCTATATGTCAGAGCTAGTCAATACTTATTTTGCCTATACAGGGATATCCACTTAAACATTTTGCTTTTGACTGCTATGATGCTTTATGCTGAAGTTGACATTGCTGATGGTTTAGACCTGAACAACTGACTTACTGACCTTCAACATGTGTGCTGAAAGACGCTGTCTTTCATTTTTATTAATCTGTAATAACATTGCGGGCTATAAAATTGTTAAATTAGATTATTGTGGATAAAAATGCATCAAAATGTACTATATTTTCCTGTGGGTTTATCTGTTTAATTTAATTATGTTGGACTTGATAATTCAAAACCCTATAGTTTTGTTGTTGACCCATCTTCATCCACATGGTGCCTGCCACATGTTGTCCAAGACCTTTAATTCTTGCAATAAAGACTAAAATGACTTATAATTGACTGTAGCACGTTTCATGGTCTATCTGTGGGGATCATAGAGATTAACTGTTGAAGCATTAGGAGAAGTCAGTAACTGACATTTGTATCTTTTTAAAGTTACACTATTTTTTAGAAATAATGTTGTTTTTAATCCCTATTAATTTCACTACTATGTTTGACAATAACACATATAACTTGAAAATGTTTCACCTTTGAGCAGGGATTATTCTTTTCATCAATCTTTTATCTTTTCACATCTTTCTAAATCTTGAATGGTGTCGATTTAAGCTTAAACTGGAAGAAACACTCCCACATTTCAAGAAGGACTTAAAAGGAAAAATTAAGAACAACACATAAGCCATTAAGCCTGTTTCCCCCAAAAAAGCAACGTTGGCAACTGATTTTATCTTATCGTTCTTTTTCCTTTGCGCATTCTCTAAACACAGTCCAGAGCACTTTAACAAAAACACTGCACCCATTTCCCAAATAGCTTAAATGTTTTTCTGTGCTTTATATAAAATGACATAATATTTCTAAATAGACTTTAACATAATTTGTTTACTATAGTAATTTGAGGAAGCTCATACATTAAACATTTACTTGTTTAAAGGTCACAGTGTGTATGCATGCATGCACAGTATGCATACTTTCTCAGAGGTTTGTTTTTATGTTGTTTTCTTTATAAGATTAGATTTGGATGAGAGGAGGGTGAGGACAATCTCGATATGGAATAGTGTATAAAAAGCTCTAGTTTCACTAGCTATGAATAAGTGGCTCTCTGCTCTAGCAGTATGTGTACTGTAGATAAGTCTATGTATAGGAAGCGCCTCTGCAGCAAGTCAAATAAATAGCGTCACTCCTAAAAGCGAGCCAACACTGGCATTGATTTCTGTTTGTCAAAAAAGGCAAACCTAAGCTATATCCCCCATAAACTCTGTGAACTAGATGAACAGCAATCTTTTCTCTAACCATGCAGGATAGACATTCAGTAATTAACGGCAAGTTAATTACCAAACTGCCTGGTATAAAGAGGACCAGCTTATACTGGCATGAGAACTGTACTGTTCCTGTGGTAATTTTGGGAACTGGAAAATTACATGTTGGTTTTTCTCTCTTAAAAACCTTTTATTTTACCAAACCTTTATTATGAACATGGAAATTTTACACAGTAGCTATATGCTGTTAGAATAAACCTTTTGACCAGAGTGCAATTACATTAATGTTTTTGGTCCCACTTTATTTTAAGTGTCTTTAAATACAACATGCTAACATTTAAATTAGTGATTTGATTAAGTGCACTTATTGTGTGCATACATTTTTTTATTGAATTTATATAAATACCTGCCTGTATTTACAGCTGTAAGAATTTTCTGTTATTACATAATATAATACTCTGTCAACCCTTCCCTTGCCCACAATTAAACTTAACCATACTACTAAACCTGTCCCTTTCCTCACCTGTATCCCACCTCAATAGCATGATGGTGATAACGTTCTCTTAAATTGTAGGTGAACGATGCTGTCCTTGCTTTTGCTGAGCATGTGTTTCTGGGTCTTCTCCGTCACAGGGTCTTTCGATTACGTTTACACTGGTGCGTATTCATTGTGCAAATTACATAATGAAATTCTTCAGTATTCATGAAAACCTCACTTAGCTGTCTTTTTTTGTTATGTCAAAGTGTTGTGATCCATGTCTTTGTATTTTCCATACCTTCATATGTCATTACAGAGCCTGAAAGCTCACTGAGCGTCAGCATACCTAATGAGCTTCCCCTCCGGCCTCTGATGGGTGACACATTAGTTCTGCCCTGCTACTTCCTGGACAACACAGTCAATGACCCTGGTGCCCCCACCAATGCTCCGTTGTCTCACCGAATCAAATGGAGCCTGGTCACCAAAGAAAAGACCACAAACATTTTAGTGGCTTCTGAAGGGATAGTAAACATTGACAAAAGGTATCTGGATAGAGTCACCATGCTGGGATACCCCATGACACCCACAGATGCATCCATTAAGATCACTGAGCTCCATTCCAATGATTCAGGAGTGTATCGCTGTGAGGTCATGCATGCGATAGAGGATAGTCATGATACTGTGGATGTCCAAGTTCAAGGTACTGCTTGTGTGAAGGTCTTTACAAGTAAGCAAACTATTATGACTGTACGTGTGTGCAGAAATGTGAAATGGATGTACTTATGGTTCTCAGGTATTGTTTTCCACTATCGTGCAATCACCACACGATACACCCTTACTTTTGAGAAGGCCAAGGCAGCATGTATTCAAAACAATGCAGTGATTGCCTCTCCGGAGCAACTCCAAGCAGCTTATGATGAGGGTTTCCATCAGTGTGATGCTGGCTGGCTCGCAGATCAGACCGTCAGGTCAGTTAACTTATCCTCGTAAATTTACAGTAAAACAAGGTAGTTGTGGTGCCTGGGAAATTCAAAGTAAAAAAAAAGTATTATGGCATATTGGTGCATGTATTTTACAACTTATAAATGTATATTTAATTAAGTGATGTTAAAGTATCAATCTTGTACTATAGAAAAATGTTTTTTACCCTAAAATAGCCACCAAATAACACATGTGGAACAATAGAAAGCCACATAATGGCAAATATACGCATAGGCCTGTACTGTGCACAGTTTTATATTTACACAAAGACAAAACACCATCAGAGTGACATGTCACAATAATGCAATAAACATTAATATAATAACATACCATTTAACACAAAACATCCTAATTTACATTACTGAAAACAAACGTAAATTGTATTTGTTTGTAGTTTTTTGTTTGTTTGTAGATAGATAGATAGATAGATAGATAGATAGATAGATAGATAGATTACTGTTACACAAGTATTTGGTAACTTACTAGTCTTTACTGAGCACTTTTTAGAGTTTTTTTTATATAAAGAACTCTACACATTTCTAACATTGTATATTTACTAAAAGCTCTTTAGTTTTGTTTGAAAATTAGATGGAAATAATGCAAAATAATTGGTTTTGGAATAAAGGTACCCTATTCATGATCCTCGTGAGGCTTGCTATGGAGACAAGTACCAATTTCCAGGAGTAAGGACATATGGAGTAAGAGATGTGAATGAGACATATGACGTGTACTGCTTTGCTGAGAAAATGACAGGTACGTGTTTGAGATGGCAGAAAACTAACCGACCTGCTTGAAAAAATTTAAAATGCTAAAAAACGTTCCGTTTCGTCTTACAGGAAAAGTGTTCCACACTACTTCCCCTAACAAATTTACTTTTGAGGAGGCAGAAGCTGAGTGTACAAAGCTGGGTGCCAACTTGGCCACCACAGGACAGCTGTACCTGGCATGGAAGGGTGGTATGGATGTTTGTAATGCAGGCTGGTTGGCAGACCGGAGTGTCCGCTACCCCATCAACATCGCCCGACCACAGTGTGGGGGGGGACTGTTGGGAGTGCGTACCGTCTATCTGTTTCCCAATCAGACTGGTTACCCACTCCCAGACTCCCGCTATGATGCTTTTTGCTACTCTGGTACAAAAATTTTATTTTACTATTCCTTCTTTATCATTTATGAATGTTTATCCACATCCACATATATTTGTAATTGTTTTATCTTTGTCCAGTAATCCATAATAGTATGTGAATAGCTGTTGGATTTAATGGAGTAAGAACTGACAAGTGTGTATTGTTTATATATTCTTTTATTTAGAAATGGGTGAGGAGGGTTCAGGCTTATTTCCATTTGAATTCGAGATGACCACAGAGGCTGATCTTCTTAGGTTTGACACATTCACCGAAACCCCCAAGGTCTTTTTAAAGCCCACCTCCACAGAAAATGAACTACAGGGAGAAGTTGTAACTTATAAGCCCGCAGTAACCACCAGTGTTGAGTTCCCATATACTGCACTAAATATTTCCCAGCTGCCGCTTTCACCACCTCCCAGCTCTACTGGAGTAGTTATGGACATTGTGGAAGGTGTCGCTGACAAGACTGATCTTGGCTCGGATTTATCCTATCTGAATGGAAGTGAAGCTATCATGTCTGCCACAGGTATGTGTCAATATGGGACTATACAATAAACTGAGTAATGTAATGGATTTTGCATTCTCTGTGATTTGACAAATGTATGTATTAATAATGGGGAAAAGACCATCAATAATTTCAATCACAATTTATGTATCTCATCCATGGTGACTTCAGTCACTTCAGTTTGCGTTATAGTTATTGCATATTCAAATTTATCATGACAAAGGCACACTCAAGGACCGGTGAAGTTTATGAGCGGTTTTGTACTTTCTACTTCAGGTTTCTCTTTCTTCCTTATATGGTGCTGAGCGTCTGTAATAACTTGCCAGTTATCTTTCACCAGCATTGGCATCATCCCTGAAGACCCCAACTAAGCCATTAAAAAAAAGGCAGCAGGTCAGGCTGGGGCATGCCTTCACACTATAGCTATATTACAGGCATACCAGGCTGACCTGCTGAGGGACCTGGAGACTAGTGAGGGGACGGGGCCTGATGTGGTTTTATCTGTCTCTCCAAGCCACTAAAGAGACCGCCTGAGCTATTGGGCGGTCGATGGCAGCTAATGTGGCTTCGGAGAGGCACCTTTGGTTAAATTTATCTGACATCGTGGCGAGCAGGACGAAGCTGAAGGCCGTGAGAGAGCGTTGCGAGGCCGGTGGCGGGATTACTAATAAGACACACTTGCATGCCCCACCGGTCTCATCTAACATCTAACCACGTTGCACTGGTGCTGAAACTTTAGAAGAAGGAGGAACATGCTGTCAAAGAGTCCTTGCCATTGTGGGGAATCCATGGTGCCATTAAGCATTGCTGAGCAGAGTCCATCACCATGGACGCTCGAGGCTGTGCGCTTGAGTGAGTTGCGGACGAACTCACTGCCGGCCACCTGGGTGCCGGAGGGGCGGCAGCCGTCCGTGAGGGAAGCAGAGGAGTTGCTGCTGTTCGCCGTGGGCTGGAGCTTGCTGCCATCCACCATGATAGGGAGGAGCAGGGAAAGGGGTACTGCCTTCTGCATGTATTTGGAGGAGCCATCGCCACCCACCAAGCGGCGGAGGAGTGTCAAGCCGTCCACTGAGGGCTATCCAGCGCCACAGGCAGGCACCGTGGTGATGATCACCCAGCTGGAAGACCAGATAGCAGTGCGTTGAGGGAACTGGTGCAAGATTGTTTTCCTCTCTCCATCTTTTGTGGCACATAAACTGCCTGAAAATGATGGCGGTCTTCAATGCGTTGAGACATTTCCTTTCAGACCCGAGGGGTCATTACATGGTTGTTCGCATAGACAACACATCGGTGGTCTCCTATATACAGTAAATCATCAACGGGATCTGGGTTCACGTCCACTATTCAAACTGGCACACCAGATTCTCTTACTCTATCCGAAACCTGGATACATACCTAAGGTTCCAACCAATGTACCATGGTCTATCATACTGCAGGTGTTCTGTCCTCCTCTATTTAAAGATCTAGACCAGGAGAAACTGAACCTCATCTGTCCAGTCAAAGCAATGGACACGTCCACAGAGCTGCCCAGTGGAGAAAGTCTGATCAATTACTGGTATGCTTTTGGCCCCCTTAGAAAGGCCTTCCTGCATCCAAGCAGATGGTTAGCAAGTGGATAGTCAATGTTATCTCTCTTGCATATGAGGTTGTGGGCCAGCCTTCATCTTCAGCCACTAGAGCACATTATAATAGGGGTAAGGCAGCCTCCAAGGAACTCCTTTCTGGGGTGTCCATTCAAGAAGTTTGTGATGCAGCTGGCTGGTTTTCGCTGCTTACGTTTGTCCGATTTTATAACCTAGACATGACTAGAATTCTCATGTCGTGACTAATTTAACACGACAGGTTCTTGGCCGTATGGTGTTCGGCCATTCTCATTTTCTCTAAAGGGAACGTCTCAGGTTAGATCAGTAACCCTAGTTCCCTGAGTAGGGAACGAGACGCTGCGTCACTTTGCCATACTTTCTACACCCTGTGATCGACTTGCTTTGGCCTTTTCAAAGCTAATGCCGCTCTAACTGGATGTGCTTTCATCCTCACCTGGTCATGATTTCTTTATACCTCATCAATAGTGAAATACTAATTTACGCTGAATGCGTAAGTTTATTAAGCTAGCTAGAGTGAAACCTTACTCTAAAACGTGCTAAAATATCACAATGATTTTACAATCTATTAAACTAGATTTTAACATTTTTGGAATATCATTTTAAGTAGCTTATAATAACCCATTAGATTTTATTATACTATAAATTCATTACAAAACAAAGTAAAGTGTATACTTGAATGTTCTAACTCTACCACTAAATGTTTTACCCTATGAGGTTTTTTTTTTTTTTTTTAAATTGGACAAATCTGTTGACACCTTTTGTTTGCTAATTCCCTGCACAGGGGTGGTCTTTCATTACCGTGCAAGCTCCAGTCGTTATGCCTTTGACTTTGTGGAGGCTCAGCTCGCTTGTAAGAGCATCGGGGCAGTCATTGCCAGCGCCCAGCAGCTGCAGGCAGCCTATGAGGCTGGTTACCATCGATGTGATGCTGGCTGGCTCTTAGATCAGACTGTCAGGTATGATTGTTCGATAATTTCTTTGTGTGTGAATTTTTTTGCTAACGAATGTTTACCTATGTATTTTTATATTTTTTTTATTTATATAAAATTCAAAATATAAGTATGCAAAATATTCGTGGCAGGGCAGATGACAAATGCTTCTAGTGTTATGATCTGTCTCAGCTGTGATCTGTCCAATCACAAAGAAAGATACAGTACCCACACTTATTATACAGTAGTAATATACTGTATATTTACAAATGTACTGTATGTAAATGATGGCTATGCAGGTATCCCATTGTGTCTCCACGTGACAAATGCTCTGGCGATATGGAGCATTTTCCTGGTGTGAGGTCTTATGGACTGCGTCCTGCCAAAGAACTCTACGATGTGTACTGCTATGTGGACAAACTGAGGGGTAGGTGACTTTACAAAATATATAAAAACTCCTATGTAGACAAAGTAAATAAATAAATAAATAAATGACCTCTGCTTTAAAGGGCACCTATATGCTTTAAAGGATGTCTGTATATATAATTTCAGACTGATCTCATGAAGTAGCGTGTGTATGACACGCCAATTCGTATTTCCATTTTTGGCGTGCTATCAAGACGCATAATCGCCTTTCAGCGTGTTTATGAACGCTGTTGACTTAACGTTATATAAATATATGACTTACCTCAACCCCGTCCCTAAACCTAACCGTCACATGGGGTTAATGGCATTTATGACTGTTCCCTTACCATCCTAGGTAAAAAAAAGATATGACTTACCTCAACCCCATCCCTAAACTTAACCGTCACTGGGGTTAATGGCATTTATGACTGGAGATTTGACTGCGTGTTCAGACACGCGGAATGACGCGGACGTTAATGGCGTAGACATATATGCATACACGCGGATACACGCGGATAGCACAAAATGCGTGGAGATAACACACCACCTGACTCGAAAGTGGCGTATATGTTTACGCAAAAGTCATGATGTCATGTTGATAATTTAAACCTTATTTGTATAGTGTGTAACCTCACATTTATAAATATATATATATTTTTAAAGATATTGTATTAAAAACTGCATATATGTTCTTGACATCTTCTCACATTTGCCACAGAAGCACCTGTATGACAAGTAACCTGACACAACAGGTCCCTCGCATAAATGTAATTTCGCTTGTACGTAGCCAACTTTATCGCAGTATGTGTTTGTAGTTTCAAAAACTTGTGCCAACGTTAGTGTTTGTGTGTGTGTGTGTGTGTGTGTGTGTGTGTTTGCACATCCATAATTTCAAAGGGGACGTGATTACAACTCTATAGACATAAATGTGTCAAATAACCATACCAAGACGTCCTGGTCCATTCTCATTTGTGTTTATTAAGTCTCTGGGTCTGATCAGAGACTATTTATATATTCAGATTCAAAAATGTAGGCTTACAGCTGAATGACATTCAAAACAGCGGGTCTCTCACTCTCTCTGCCCTTCTGCAAGTGACGCCCTCATCCAAAGGCAGGGCGGGGATATGCAGCTCATTTGCATTTAAGGTCTTAGACACCAAACAGCTCATTTTTAAACAGGCCCCAAAAATGACATTTTCCAAATGGTTATAATAAATTAACTGTGGGGAATTTTGAGCTGAAACTTCACAAATACATTCTGGGGACACCTGAGACCAATATTACATCTTGTAAAAAGGGGCATAATAGGTGCCCTTTAAGTTTTTTGAGATTAAAAAAATAAAACTGGAAATTTTTTTTTTTTAGAAAGAACCCCCCCCCCCCATTTCATTGGGGATAAAGAATCACTCTGACACACTGTGTAGCTTGAGTTTTAAGTAAATGTTCACATTTCAGGCGAAGTTTTCCATGCAAGTTCATTCGAGGGATTCACTTACAATGAAGCAGTGGCTTACTGCCAGGACCAGAATGCTACCCTGGCCTCCACAGGAGACCTGTATGCTGCTTGGAAGCAGGGCTTTGATAAGTGCCGCCCTGGCTGGCTTCTTGACCGCAGCGTACGTTACTCCATCAATAACCCCCGGCAGCAGTGTGGTGGAGGGATGGCTGGAGTTCACACAGTTTACATGTTTCCCAACCAGACGGGCTCTCCTGAACTGCACTCCAAATACGATGCATATTGCTTCAAGGGTAAATATAACATCTATAGTCAATTACAGGCCATAAAGTGTAACTTCTTTGAAATTTAATATATCAAGTCTATTGATACAAAATTATTAATTACATATTTGTCATTTTTATGTATAGTGGATCTGGCTCTATCTCCGAATAAGAGAGTGAAAGAGGAAAATATAGTGAACATGACATCCTTGCCTGATCTTCTCAGACCTAGTATGTATGTCAGGATATATATATATATATATATATATATATATATATATATATATGAATGCATGTGTATTATGTATATGTATTACTCAAACATACATTTTGACATATATATTTACAGTACATATTTATTCATTTAGCAGACGCTTTTATTCAAAGTGACTTACAAATAGAAGAACAATAGAATCAGTTAAACTAACAGTAGGACAACAAACAGTAGGACAAATATGCATATACACACATAACCCTAACCCATTTAAATAAATGAATTGTGTGTATGCATGTATATATAAAAAATATTATTATTAATAATATTATGTAGTATATACATCTCTACAGCTAAGTTAGCTAACGTCAGTGAAGTGTTAGATAATGTCACGTAAGATGTAGTTGCTATTAACCTATTATTTACCAATAAACCTTAACTCAAATTGGCTACATAAAATATAACTACTGACTAGGTTCACGAGAGGTTGGCTAATGTGTGTAAAAATAAAACAAAATACAGTAATTTCATTAATTTACCAGGGAGCGTACTTCGGAAACACTGAAAATGATTGGGGTTCAATGCTGGAACTCTCAGTGTTTGGAACTATCGGCTGCTCCATGACACGCGTTACTTCCACATTCCAAAGTTCCTATGGTGGTCTATTTAATTGTTTAGTTGGTCTCACCTGCCGTTGAATAACATGGGGCAGGTGCTGGTGCTCAGCATACACTAACGTCACTGGTATTGCTGGTTTAGACCCTACTATGAAGTATGAGCTAAAATCATTCCTAGTTCCTGCGGTACCCTGGGTAAAACCTGGGTACTTCTGCTAATAGTTCTAAAAACTATGAAAAGGTTATAAAGGTTATAATTAATGAGGGCTTGTATGTTTCTCTTGATTATCATACTCACAATTGGTAATTGTTTACTCACCCACATGTCATTCCAAACCTGTATGACTTTCTTCTTCCCAACAAAAAAAAGAAAGAAAGAAAACACTGAGACATTTCACAAAATGTATTCTTTTATGTTCCACCGAGAAAATAAAATCATATAAGTTTTGAATGACATGAGGGTGAGTAATTGATAACAGAATGTTATTTTTTGGGTGAACTATCTCTTTAAGTTGCTGTATGTATGCACAGCATTGTAATGCATGTTTGAATAAATAGAACAAAAAACGTCATTGACCCATGTCCAATTTTAACAGCTTGTAACCTATGCGTCAGGAATATTCATTTTGTTTTGAGTGCAGTACCTTAGATTCTCTGTCTGTCTCTGTTTCTTCAGAGAGTATCCCTATCATTACTTCAATCCCTGTGGAACCGTCTGGATCTGGTGCATCTGGGGCCAGCAGCACCTACGATCTGTTGAGCAGTGGGAGTGGGAATCAGCCGAGTGGGTCATCTATTGCAAGTGGAGACTCCTCAGGGACCAGTGGCTCTGATGATACTTTGAGTAGTGGGAGCGGTTACCAGCCAAGTGGGTCATTTGTTTCGAGTGGAGACTCTTCTGGGGCCAGTGGCACGGACGATCTGTTGAGCAGTGGGAGCGGGGATCTGCAGAGTGGATCATTTAGTTTCAGCGGAGACTCTTCTGGGGCCAGTGACACCGACAATCTGTTGAGCAGTGGGAGCGGTGGTCAGCCGAGTGGATCATTCGGTTCCAGTGGAGACTCTTCTGGGACCAGTGGCACTGACGATCTGTTAGACAGTAGGAGCAGGGATCAGCCAAGTGGGTCATTTGTGTCAAGTGGGAGCGGGGATCTGCCAAGCGGGTCTGGAAACCCTTCAGGATCTGGCATTCCGAGTAATCTTTTCAGAAAGTGACACAGTTTTATCAGGATTTGGATCAGCTTCAGGGAAACCCGAGGAGGCTGGGAAGGGAGTCACCGAGATCCTCACCTTCCCCTTCGACCAGAGTGTGGACACTTCTGGATCAGGATCAGGCAGTGGTCAGGGTATGGCTCTGAAGAAAGTGGATCTACCTCAGACATTTCCAGCAGCTCAGGAGAAAGCGACGAGAGTGGAGATCTTTCTGGCATCTCCTCAGGATCAGGTTCCAGTGAGGAGTCCTCAGGACTCAGTGGTTTCCTGTCAGGAATTTTCCCCTCTGGAGGATCCAGTGGCATTTCATTAATTGATGGCAGTGGCATCATCATGGTTATAACCCACAACAATTATAGAACAAGAGTTAGGTGGAAGCCATGTGGATTTCAGCGGATCAGGACATACCTCAGGTCTGGATGAGCAGTGATATCTCTGGAATGAGCGGTGATATCTCTGGGATGAATGATGATAACTCTGGCATGAGTGGTGATATATCTGGAATAAGCGGTGTCCATAGTGGCTCTGGGAGTGGTTTAACATTTTCTGGTCTAAAATTTTTGGAGTCTGGCTTCATTGATCTCACAGAACAATCTCGTGAACAGGAAGCTTCTGGGCTTTTGTTTTTTGGGTCTGGTGAGGGAAGTGGATTTACATCTGGAGGCTATACCATTGAATCAGGAGAAAGATCAGGGGAATTAGTTAGCGGGGGATATCACCTTCTTTACCAATAATGGCATGATGGAAATACCCAACAAGCCCCTCCAAGGAATGGAGCTAGGAAGGGGAGAGGTGGAGTATAGTGGCAACGTCCGGCTGTCCTCAGGTAGTGGAGATGACCAAAATGAATCCACGGTGAACTCAGTGATGCTCCTTCAGCTGTACTACTTGCTCAAGGGCCATCAGGCCTGTACAGTGATGCTGCAGGGTCTTATTCAACACCAGAGGGAATCATCAGTCAACTTGACGCTGTTACTTCTGCAGCTTTGTCTTCTACCACACAGCCTGCCTCTTTGCAGGGTCCATCTCTCACCGAAGCACCTGATATGAATGGTGAGATTCCTTTTTTGCATAATATGGGCTGAAATACAGAATAGAGATGCATGGCATATCCGTTATTGGCCAGTATTAA